GTGGACTATACTGAGGTGACGTGATGGCGAGCTGAGACGATCTTGGATTCTTTCTTCTTTGAGCAACCCTGGTCTGGTAGGAGGCTGACACAGCCTGTCCCCCACCACTCTCACTACTGACACATACCCACATATTAGCATACTTTGTGGGGTGTCATTGGCAACTGCTGGATTATATTTTTGTTTCTTATTCTATGGACTACGGTTGTTGAACCACAACGAACTTTATAACAACTTGGTGCACTCTAATCAAAATACTGCAGTAATCTTGTAAATGGTCTTCTATATTTTTTCCCCTGTTGTAAATATGTAAATGTCTTCTTTCACAATATATGGTACCATAACCACACCGTTACTGTTGGTTGTGTTTTACTTACTCACCCCAGCTCCAGTAGGCAAACCTAAGATCTTCTGTGTGAGCCCAACCCTTACTCTTTACGTCATACAAAGTAAAGCTATTACATTAATAAGGAAATTAGTCCATATTACATATTGTACATATTTTTTAGTCGTAGGGGAAACCGGAGTACCCGGAGGAAACCTACGCAGACACAGGGAGAACATGCAAACTCCACTCAGAAAGGCCCTGGTCCGACCGGGATTCAAACCCAGGACCTTCTTGCTGAGAGGCGAGAGTGCTATCCACTCAGCCACCATGCCACCCGATTGTTGCTCTGTAGATGGCTCGTAAAATCGATGTCAAAATTGGATCATTAGTATTCATTTTGAAACATTTTAATGGTTTTTATTCCATCCTGAAAAGCAGCTTGGCGAATAATATTCTTAGCCAATTATAATATGAGTTTTGTTATTTGGAGGTAGCACATAGAAACAGTTCATAATAAATCTGATTATAAAAGCATCATTTAATGTGAACGGGCAGTAATATGAAGTAAAGTCGAGCGTGTGCTGCCCTCTGCTGCCGTCAATGTGACATTGCAGGAGAGAAAGCCTGAAGTATATACATTATCTGTGTTCATGATGTTCCTTAAATGTGATCTTCAATCAATCAATCAATCAATCCTTTATTATCTCACACAGATGGAGAAATTCAGTTCGATGAATAAACATCAAGGCGCCGGCCGCGTACTCTAATTTTCCGCGCTCCTTATGACAGTTATTCAACAGCAGAGAGCAAAACAGACACATATTTCAACAGACATGGGGAGAGACACGGTACATGTGGAAAACATGCGGATCTTTTTAATGGGAAGTCATCACTCTGGCCCGCCTCGTCCAATATAGCGCGTCAGAGGGGAGTGTGGGTGGGGGAGGTGGAGGGGAAGACCACCATAGACTGAAAAGAGAGGGAGGCAGACATGTAGAGGGGGGGGGGGGGGGGGGGGGGGGGGGGGGACTGTAACTGGTGTTATGGGTTGTGAGTCTGAGTTAGATAGAGTCCAGTGTCGGCCTTGAGTGGCCGGTGCGGTGGTGGAATGTGAAGGACAAAGATAGCGCAGGTGCAAACATTGGAGACAAAACAGCACATGCCCTTGTGGGAAATTTGTATAAGCACTTTAGCTGTTCAATGAAAGGCAGTGTAAACTAAAGCCAATATGTCCAAATTATACTGGAACTGGACCCTCCGTTCACCGTTATCCGGAGTTGACCACGTCAGTAAGAGGTTCCACCGTGAGGCCCAAGTCCTTCAACAATCCTTCCAAGCGTTTAAGTCCATCCAAAGATCTCACTCCCAGGTCGTTAAGGGAGTGTTCGATCCGACTCACCCCCCGCTGTGTCCCCACTGTGCCCTCGACCACGACTCTGACCAACTCGCGGAAACTCTCCTTGTTTTCCGCCGACAGCCGCTCGTAAATCTTCTGAGTGGACAGCCCTCCAACTTTGCGGTAGATCAAGCCAACTCCAAATCCAATCAGGAGGAACCCTGCTACCATAAATCCAAAAATGTATATATCCTCAATGTCCTCGATGGACAGTCCCGACAGACAAACGGGGTGCCACTTTTGCCAGTTGTCAAAAACGTACCCAGCAGCCGCCGTACCATCCGGGCAAACGGCATCTCCAGAACCGCCTTTACGTGATGAAAAAATAGTATCAATTGCGTTGAGGGACCAGTTGATTCATTCCGTCATTTTTAAGTTGTACACAGGCAGAACTCTAGGAAAAAAGACAGTCAGGGCAAGAGCAGGAGCAGGCAAGAGACACGTCTGACCTCGAGGAGAGCAGGAGGAGGAAAGAAAAAAAAAAAAAACGAATTGATAATATTTACTTTGGCATTTGATGTGTTAGAATGGACAATATACTTAACATACAATTTAATAATAATAATGATATAAATACACCCAATATGCAGTCTCCTCCATTCTCACTTGTGCCTCTGAAACATGTGTCAGGCTTATCAAAATCAGAATATTTTTTATTTCCATTGTGACAGGAACTCACAAACTATAAGAATAAGACATGCATAAAGAATATGATCCCAGAGGTGTTTGCAGTCATTTAATCCAGTGTTCCTGAACATTATTGAGCTGCGACACTTTATGAATTGAAAACAATCGCATGACACAACAGCAGCTGAAACTGATACAGACATGAAACTCTGCTTTTTATTCATATTTCAAAGTCATTTTCACCAAAGTGTGTTATATAGAAAATCAGACAAGTGCAAAAAGTTTTTCTAGTGTTTCTGTCTCTCATTATTATCTTCTCAAGTTATTTTGACCAATGAGGTGATATTGGACCATTTCTAAAGGCACACTGGTTGGAAAACACTGCCATAACAAACAGTAAACATCTACAACTTTTTCACACATTGTCAAGTTTACAGTCACAAACATGATGATTGTATTTTTTGCCACCACCACAAAAAAACTAATCATGCAGCTTTGTTCTAATGATTCAAAAAGCACCCACCTTTGTGTAATCTACTCCCAGTATATGTTCTGTGAGAGCCACAGAGCTAGGTTTAGAGTGTATTGGTCACGAAATAGAGTCACAAAATCAATCAATGTTATGAACAAACAGACTCAACTGTTTGATTGACCTATATACTGTTAAATTTTAACATATATGGGGCGACAGTGGCTCACTTGGTAGAGCATGGGTTCGAGCCCACCACAACTCAAATCACCTGGTTCCACTGATGTCTGCTGTCCTTGTGTCCTTGGGCAAGACACTTAACCTCACATTGCCTGAAGCCCCAGCTGTAAGACTAGGAAATCTCGTCAATGATAGAGAGTATATTCAGCAGAGTAAACACCTAAATCCCATTTGCTGTGTCTGGCATCTTTTCGATGAAATCATCTCCAAATTGGACAATGTGTTTGAGCGCTGTGAGGATGAGTGTGTCCATGTCCGGGTTGTTTTTCATCTCCCCCTCGCTGTAGTTTTTCAGAGCCATGATGCAGTTCAGCGGGATTCCCACCTCAGTGCTAAACATCTCCATCTGGAAGAAACATTCACAACACTCAGATACTCAGTCAAAACACAAAGGAACAAATAGTAAGAGGACGTAACATTTAAAACATAATACAAAAGTTAGTTTGAGCGTATATATGTTTGCAAAAAGCCAGAGACTTTGGCCAATGACTTCAGCTTTAGTGACTCAGCAGATATAGAACACAAGGAAGAGACAGAGAAGGCCAAAAGAGGGGGCCGGGCCTGTTTGGTGTGTGCACAAACAGTTGGTAGAAGCACAGACTGTTTGCCTCGCTTCTGTCAGTGTGCCCCAGGGCAGCTGTGACTACACAAATAGTTTAATACCACTGTGTATGGAGTGAAAGAATAATGATATGTGAAGTGTCTTATTAGCGCTGTCAGTTATTAACAGCACTAATGAAAAGATTAAGATTAAGAGATCCTTTTTTTGTCCCACAGTGGAGACATTTCGGTGTTGCATCACAGGTTATAGAACAGTAGGAAAGAAGAGCACACGGCACACGTTATGTGATCAAAAGAAATACTAATCAAAATAAAAACAATCTAACTCTAGCATCAATAATAAGTATAAAATCTCTATCTTGAAAATATAATAGATGTAAAAATTTAACATTGACAAAATAAGAGGCAAGTATAAAGTACTACAGTGGTTCCCAAAGTGGGGGTGGGAACCCCTGGGGGGGTCGCAAGATGATTTCCAAAAACAAAAACAAAAAATGAGCAAATTAATAGCCCTTAAATATTTATTTTACATTTGATTTGATTCAAAAGGATTACCTGTTAAATTGTGTTAGGAGAATATTATATATTTTAATTACGTTAATTACGTTGTCCCAGTCATTGACAGCGTCAATCAAAACGTGTCCTGCTGTTGTTTGCTAAAACTAAAGGTGTTTGGAGCTTCAAACAAATACCTGCTTTAAAATGAAACATGGTTAATATCCACAACAGAAAAACACGGAGGAGGAGAACAGTCAAGGGTCAGGCTGATGGTGCGAAGAGAGGGAGAGATGGCAGTGGAGGGAGAGAGGGAGAGAGGGCAGTGGAGGGAAAGAGGGCAGCGGAGGGAGAGAGGGCAGCGGAGGAAGAGAGCTCAGTGGAGGGAGAGAGGGCAGTGGAGGGAGAGAGGGAGAGAGGGCAGTGGAGGGAAAGAGGGCAGCGGAGGGAGAGAGGGCAGAGGAGGGAGAGAGGGCAGTGGAGGGAGAGAGGGCAGTGGAGGAAGAGAGCTCAGTGGAGGGAGAGAGGGCAGTGGAGGGAGAGAGGGAGAGAGGGCAGTGGAGGGAAAGAGGGCAGCGGAGGGAGAGAGGGCAGCGGAGGGAGAGAGGGCAGAGGAGGGAGAGAGGGCAGAGGAGGGAGAGAGGGCAGAGGAGGGAGAGAGGGCAGTGGAGGGAGAGAGGGCAGAGGAGGGAGGGAGGGCAGCGGAGGGAGAGAGGGCAGCGGAGGGAGAGAGGGCAGTGGAGGGAGAGAGGGCAGAGGAGGGAGGGAGGGCAGCGGAGGGAGAGAGGGCAGCGGAGGGAGAGAGGGCAGAGGAGGGAGAGAGGGCAGTGGAGGAAGAGAGGGCACAGGAGGGAGGGAGGGAGAGAGGGCAGTGGAGGGAGAGAGGGCAGAGGAGGGAGAGAGGGCAGAGGAGGGAGAGAGGGCAGAGGAGGGAGAGAGGGCAGAGGAGGGAGGGAGGGAGGGAGGGAGGGCAGCGGAGGGAGAGAGGGCAGAGGAGGGAGAGAGGGCAGTGGAGGGAGAGAGGGCAGTGGAGGAAGAGAGCTCAGTGGAGGGAGAGAGGGCAGTGGAGGGAGAGAGGGAGAGAGGGCAGTGGAGGGAAAGAGGGCAGCGGAGGGAGAGAGGGCAGCGGAGGGAGAGAGGGCAGAGGAGGGAGAGAGGGCAGAGGAGGGAGAGAGGGCAGAGGAGGGAGAGAGGGCAGTGGAGGGAGAGAGGGCAGAGGAGGGAGGGAGGGCAGCGGAGGGAGAGAGGGCAGCGGAGGGAGAGAGGGCAGTGGAGGGAGAGAGGGCAGAGGAGGGAGGGAGGGCAGCGGAGGGAGAGAGGGCAGCGGAGGGAGAGAGGGCAGAGGAGGGAGAGAGGGCAGTGGAGGAAGAGAGGGCACAGGAGGGAGGGAGGGAGAGAGGGCAGTGGAGGGAGAGAGGGCAGAGGAGGGAGAGAGGGCAGAGGAGGGAGAGAGGGCAGAGGAGGGAGAGAGGGCAGAGGAGGGAGGGAGGGAGGGAGGGAGGGCAGCGGAGGGAGAGAGGGCAGAGGAGGGAGAGAGGGCACAGGAGGGAGGGAGGGAGGGAGGGAGGGCAGTGGAGGGAGAGAGGGCAGAGGAGGGAGAGAGGGCACAGGAGGGAGGGAGGGAGGGAGGGAGGGCAGTGGAGGGAGAGAGGGCAGAGGAGGGAGAGAGGGCACAGGAGGGAGGGAGGGAGGGAGGGAGGGCAGAGGAGGGAGAGAGGGCAGAGGAGGGAGAGAGGGCACAGGAGGGAGGGAGGGAGGGAGGGAGGGCAGTGGAGGGAGAGAGGGCAGAGGAGGGAGAGAGGGCAGAGGAGGGAGAGAGGGCAGAGGAGGGAGAGAGGGCAGCGGAGGGAGGGAGGGCAGCGGAGGGAGAGAGGGCAGAGGAGGGAGAGAGGGCAGTGGAGGGAGAGAGGGCAGAGGAGGGAGGGAGGGCAGTGGAGGGAGAGAGGGCAGCGGAGGGAGAGAGGGCAGAGGAGGGAGAGAGGGCAGTGGAGGAAGAGAGGGCACAGGAGGGAGGGAGGGAGGGAGGGCAGCGGAGGGAGAGAGGGCAGAGGAGGGAGAGAGGGCAGAGGAGGGAGAGAGGGCAGAGGAGGGAGAGAGGGCAGAGGAGGGAGAGAGGGCAGAGGAGGGAGGGAGGGAGGGAGGGGAGGGCAGCGGAGGGAGAGAGGGCAGCGGAGGGAGGGAGGGCAGAGGAGGGAGAGAGGGCAGAGGAGGGAGAGAGGGCACAGGAGGGAGGGAGGGAGGGAGGGAGGGCAGTGGAGGGAGAGAGGGCAGAGGAGGGAGAGAGGGCAGAGGAGGGAGAGAGGGCAGAGGAGGGAGGGAGGGAGGGAGGGCAGCGGAGGGAGAGAGGGCAGCGGAGGGAGGGAGGGCAGAGGAGGGAGGGAGGGCAGCGGAGGGAGAGGGGGCAGTGGAGGGAGAGAGGGCAGAGGAGGGAGAGAGGGCAGAGGAGGGAGAGAGGGCAGCGGAGGGAGAGAGGGCAGTGGAGGGAGAGAGGGCAGAGGAGGGAGAGAGGGCAGTGGAGGGAGAGAGGGCAGTGGAGGGAGAGAGGACAGAGGAGGGAGAGAGGGCAGCGGAGGGAGAGAGGGCAGAGGAGGGAGAGAGGGCAGAGGAGGGAGGGAGGGAGGGCAGCGGAGGGAGAACAGCGTGGTAAAGAGGCCCGGCTTTTCGGAGTCAGTGGTAAAGAGGTCCGCACATTAAAAGCGGGTGGCCGGTTTATGCTGTTACTGACAGTAACTTTGGAAAAAGAAGCCGCGGGGGAGGAACCGCATGAAGTAACAGCAGAAAGCCCGCTGACTCCAAAAAGCCGGGTCACTTTACTGTGGTAGGAGAACAGAGAGGGCGAGCCGCAAGAAATACACTCCACTTCTGCTAAGAAGGAAGCCCACCAAGCCCATCACTGTGTCACTAGGTGAGTAAAAATACGCAAGCCTCCTTTTTTGGGCTGGACAGTGCAGCTCAGTAGTGGCGCGAGTCTCTGCGTTACTCCGTATCAAGGAAATACATGCTCATTGACGGGAAGGACTGTTGAGGTGGGGGGTCGCGGGGGAGCAGTGCATTTATGATGGGGGTCGCGGGCTAAAAACTTTGGGAACCCCTGAAGTACTGTGTAATCTAGTACAAGTAAAGTCTAGTTATATGTTAGCATCTGTACATTAGCAGCTGTATGTTTACATCTGTACATTAGCAGCAGTATGTTTACAACTGTACATTATCAGCAGTATGTTAGCATCTGTACATTAGCAGCAGTATGTTTACATCTGTACATTAGCAGCAGTATGTTTACATCTGTACATTAGCAGCAGTATGTTTACAACTGTACATTAGCAGCAGTATGTTTACATCTGTACATTAGCAGCAGTATGTTTACAACTGTACATTATCAGCAGTATGTTTACATCTGTACATTAGCAGCAGTATGTTTACATCTGTACATTACAACAGTATGTTTACAACTGTATATTGGCAGCTGTATATTGCACATTCTGGTATAAGATAAGGATGTTATAAGGCAGTGTTCATTAGTCCTTATTGTTTATTGTACAGTCTGACAGCAGCAGGAAGGAAAGACCTGCGGTCACTGAAGCTGCTCTCCAGAGCAGAGAGAGTGTCCTGCAGGGGGTGACAGTCATGGTCCAGCATAGATGTTAGTTTTCTCAGGACCCTCCTGTCCCCCACCTGCTGCACTGTGTCCAGGGAACAGCCCAGGACTGAGCTGGACTTCCTGATGTTCCAGCTTCTTCCTGTCCCTCTCTGTGATGCTGCTGTTCCAGCAGACCACACCGTACAAGAGGCTGATGCCACCACAGAGTCATAGAAGGTCTTCAGGAGTGGCCCCTGCACTCCAAAAGACCTAAGCCTCCTCAGCAGGTAGAGGCGGCTCTGGCCCTTCTTGAAGAGAGCGTCTGTGTTATGAGTCCAGTCCAGTTTGTGGTTCAGATGAACACCCAGGTACTTGTAAGAGTCCACTCTCTCGATGTCCTTTCCCTGGATGTTCACTGGGGCTGGAGCGGCAGAGTGACGTCTGCGGAAATCCACCACCATCTCCTTGGTCTTCCTCACGTTGATGAGGAGGTGGTTCCGCTGACACCAGTCCACAAAGTCCTGTATAACTCCTCTGTACTCTGTGTCATCGTCCTCGGAGCTGAGTCCGATGATGGCAGAGTCGTCAGAGAACTTCTGTAGAACACAACCGTCCGTGTTGTGTCTGAAGTCCGCAGTGTAGAAGGTGAAGAGGAACGGCGCGAGGACTGTCCCCTGGGGGGCCCCCACACTGCAGGTCAAGACCTCAGACAC